GGGGGGCCGGGGGGCTGGCGGAGCTGGCCCAGGAGCATGCCCTCTCGGGCCGGGTCCTGCTGCGGCTCTCGGAGGGGACTCTGCGGCGCATGGGGGTGACCCCGCGCAGGCGACGGCGGGAGCTGCTGCGGGAGCTGCTGCGGTTGCGGCTGCAGCAGGAGCTCGAGGAGCTGCTGCGCGTCGCCGGGGGTGAGTGTCCCCCACGCCCGGGGGTTGGGGGTGGGCACCCGGCACGATGGTCACTGTCACCCCCTTCTCCAGAGTCCAGGTGACGTCCCTGCAGAGGAGCCTGCGGGGGGAGAGGTGACGCCACGGGGGGACAAAGCAGCAGCTGGAACCGAGCACCTGAGGCAGGAGCGGGGCTGGAGGAAGCCCTGAGGTCACCGTGTCCCCCCCCCCAGAGCAGCCCAGACCTGCCCGGTGCTGGCAAGTGAGCAGCGAGAGGTGGCCACTGAGGGGGCACAAGTTGAGGGTGGCCACCCCTCGCACCGCTGCCGGCTCCTGTGGGGTCTCCCTGGCTCTGGCAAGCTGAGGGGAGCCCTACCAGCCCCCCCAGCCCCCCATCATCCTGCTGCAACCACCAGGTCACCCCCCAGCGACAGGGCCCGGCGGCCAGTCCGTCTGTCCGTCCGTGGGGTGGTGGGGGCTGGTGTGGGGGGGACAAGCTCCCTGGTTGCTGCACTGGGGAAATCCATCTCTTGGTGCCCGGGGCTGGCAGGAGGAGCCCAGCCAGAGCTGCCCTCAATAAACACCTTCCTGGTAGTGACAGAGGGGTCCCCGCTCCCAGATTCCAACCAGGGTTGAAAGCCAGAGCCTCCCACCCCACTGGGCCTCCTCTCCCCTGGTACTTTCCTGGCTCTGAACTTTAGCAGAGGTGGGGAGGGGGCCAGCCCCTCCCCCCCCCCCCCCCCCCGGTACTGCTGGCACCAGGCTCGGGCGGCTGCAAAGCTGCGGGGCAGGATCTGTCCCTTGGACCTGATTCCCCAAAGGAGGAAGAGGAGGGTAAGCCCTCCTCCCCCCTGCAATACCCTCCCCTGGCACCCTGAGGCTCGTGTGGTCCCAGAAGTGATGGGGGGGGGGCCTCCGGCTGGATCTGGGAGGTGGGGGGAGTCCCCGGGCAGGCAGCGTCAGCTGAGGTGCCAAAACCCGCATTAAATACCACACAGGTTGTCGTGTGGCCTGTGAGAAACTCAGAGGCGCGTTACTGAACAGCCGTGGGACTCCTGCCCTGCTGTGGGGAAGGTCAGGCAGGTGGAAGCAGCAGACCCAAGAGTTTTTCCTTCTTTTTCTCTTCCTGCCTGGCCAGGACGGAGCTCGGCGGCGCTGGCATCTGCCCCGCCGGCCTCTGCCCTGTGGGCTGCTGCAGAGACCCCCCGCCCCGGGTCGTGGGTCACTAAAAATCCTGGGGACTCACGGGGTGGGGGGCGTGGTTAGCACAAATTGGAACGATGTGCCTCAGATTTGTATTTTTTGATGCTGGGATTGGTAATGGGACGTTGTGGGATTGCCCGTGCCATCTCCTCCTTAACCTCTCTCTGTTCTTCTGTGTCACGTCCCACCCAGACGAGGGAGAAGTGACTGCGGCTTGTAAATCCCCAGCGGGGTGAGCAACGGGGAAACAAGGCCAGACACAGACATTTATTAATTTCCCACAATGTACTAATTGGATACGTGATAATTGGCTGAGTATATAACGAGTTATGGCAAGAGATACAGTTGGCCTTGCGTTAATTAATGGTAATGAGGGAAAAAAGAAAAGGAGAGAGATAGAGGTAGAAATAAAGATCACTGGTCCTGGTTCCTGTGTCGATCCCAGCAGTGAGGGTTCAAGGATGCTCCACTTCGCTTCCCCTCCTCTTCTTGCCCTCCCTCTCCATTTATACCCCCTCTCCTTGGGTCCCTCCCCTCGGCCGACCCACACACCTACACACGCCATGGATGGGGAGGGGCAAGGCACTTCATGGGGTGCTGTAATTAGCATGAGCTTGTTAATCTTCATTAGCATCTTCATGTCAATTTTAATACTAATTTTGTGGATAACGAAGCGAAGATCACTCACGGGACAGATGCTCCTTGAAACTTTACAGGATGCCTCAGAGCGGAACTGTCCTGTCTCCGCTGGGCTCCCCTCTCCAGCCCATCCTGTGTCATCCCGGCAGATCTATCAGCTCCAAACTCCACATTACCCACCCCGGGACTATAATTTCATTACTTGTGAGTGTTTGAGATGTGCTTAACTCCTCAGGTTTCGCGTTGCCCTCTGTGCACGCACCACCCTTAGAAGACCCAACTGCGCGGGACATCGCCGGATCCCAGGGCAGGGAACTCCCTCTCCTTCCCCTCTTCCTCTCCTTCCCTTTCTCTCCTATCTTTCCTTCTACTAATCTCAGGTGCAAAGGGTAATTGTCTTGCTTTATTGCCAGAAAATTATTTCCTCATGTGGTTCAAATGTGTAATCAATAAATTTGTGCTGAGTTTGACCATTTGGTGTTGTTTCACCCTATTTCACCCCGAGGTAGCAGCTAAAGAACCTCTGGTCAGTCCCTTCCCCTGAGGTCAGGATGTGCTGGGCAGGTCAGGGGGAGGCAGGTTTGGGGGGACCCTGGCTGCAGGGCCGTGGTTTGGGGGGGTGATGCCCGTGGGGTGGCTTTGGGATTCCCTGGGGTGACTTGTGAGGGCAAGGTGCAGAGGTGACGGAGGCAGGGGCCGGGGGACAGCGCTGGGCTTTACCCCCGTGCCCACGGACCCTTTCGCAGTGGACGTGCCGGTCCCCAGCAGCCACGTGGCTGATCTACGGGGATCAGCGGGACACCAGAGGGGGGTCCGGTGCCTCAAGTGAGTTTTTGGTGTTTTTTCTTCCTGCTTCCAGCTGGTCACAATGGGAGATCCCGGCTCTTCCTGCCCCCAACTGAGTGACCCTGCGTGATTTTGCTGGGAGCTCCTTCATGGCGACGTGGGGGATTGGATGAGCCACAGCCTCCACCCTTGGGTGTCCGTGTCCCTCCTCTCCCGCCTCCAGACCAAGGCCGAGCACCCAAATGGTTTCTCCAGTGTCCTGCGTGAAGCTGGTCTGTGGTGGCTGTGCATCCCATGGCACCTGTCTCGTCCCTCCAGGTGGGTTATGAGGAGGGT